GGCCCCGCCCCCGCGCTCCTCCCCGGCATGGCGGCGCGGCGCGGGCCGGCCGCGGCGTTGTACGCCCACGTGAGTGCTTGCACGCCCGTCCCGGGCACACTTGCCCCCCACGCGTGCTGGCCTCTTGGCAAGGGGCGCGGAGGGTCTCGCCCCAGCATTTGGTCGGACGGCGGGGGAGTTCCGGCTTTGTTCTTCCGCCAACTGCTTGGACGCTTCCTTGGGCCCCGGCTGACTTCCTGCCCCTGGGCGGGGGGCGGGGGGCTGGGCTCCACGATCCCCTCACGTCCCTGAAATCTGCGCTTCGGGAATGGGGGAAATCTTCCCCGTTTCTTTTCTCTGGATCTATAACTATAAACTTGTGCAAAAGAAAGCGCTGCGTTTGTCATATTCCTGAAGCGTGGCCTCTTCTGAACAGCAGCCAAAGTCGTGGGAGTTGGCAACGCTGAGGTGGGCAGGGAAACCGAGGCACAGAGGGCCGGCGGCTTGCCCGAGCTCACCCCGGAGTCGGTGGCCCGGCTGGGAGAGACCCCCAACCCCCCCCCGACTCACCCATACCATATCGGAGCCCAATTTCCGCTCCGACAGCTGCACTCCCCCGTTTCCTGTGAGGATCCTGCTTCCCGGGTGCATGCAACCGGCTTGCTTTCCTCCTCTCCGAGGGCTGCGCTGTCATGTGCTGCCTGCCAAGAGGGCTCTCCTTCCTGTGTCCCATAGTGGCCCTACTGCCTCAAACGCTGCAGCTACTGCAACTTCAACAAGTACATCCCCCGGGGCCTCGATGAGGCGGTGGTGCGGAGCTGTCTTGCCCGGGAAGCGCAGACCCTGATCCAGCTGAGCGGAGTCCGGAGGTGGGTGCAGTCCCCGGAGGGTGAGGACAGGATACGGGAGAGGGACGCTCTCGTGTGCTTTGTCCTGGGCAGCCCGGGCCCCTGGGGTGCGGAGTCGGGGGCGAGGCGCTCTGGCAGCAACACGTGGGCGCTGTGAGGCTCGGGGCCTCTTCCCAGCAGGATCAGCTCGGTGTTCTTCGGGGGGGGGACGCCAAGCCTGGCCAGCCCGCTCACCATCGCGGCGGTGCTGGAGACCATTTCCCAATGCGCTCACTTGGCGACAGACGCGGAGGTCACTCTGGAAGCCAACCCCACCTCGGCCGGGGCCTCGCGGCTGGCGGGCTTCCGGGCAGCCGGTGTCAATCGCCTCTCTGTTGGCATCCAGGTGAGAGGGCACATCTGCCTGCCCCCCTCACCTGATCTCCCTCCATCCTTGCTGTCTGCCCGTGCTCTGGTGCCCTTCTCATCCCTGCCCAGAGCCCCCGTTCTCCTGCGTGGCCGGTGCGGTCTCACCGGGCCTCTCTGTTCCCTGCAGTCAGTGGACGATGCGGAGCTCCAGCTCCTTGGGCGGGACCACACGGCGGATGAGGCTTTGAGAACCCTGGAAGAGGCCAAGAAACTGTTTCCAGGACGCACGTCCGTCGACCTCATCTTTGGCCTCCCGGGCCAGAGCGTTGCCTCGTGGGCCAGGGGGTTGGAGTGCCTGCTTCAGCTGTGCGACGACCACGTGTCTCTGTACCAGCTCACGCTGGAGCGGGGCACCTCCCTCTTCAAGCAGGTGCAGCAGGGCGCCCTGCCTACGCCCGAGCAGGATGTGCTGGCCGAGATGTACAAAGCAGCGCGGCGGATGCTGCGGGATGCAGGCTTCCGGCAGTACGAGGTCTCCAACTTTGCCAGGAACGTGAGTCCCGCTCCTTGGCAGGCCTGGCTGGGTGCTCTGCCTGGGAGGGGTGGCCAAGCTGGGGGCTTTTGTGACTGCTGGGAGGGTGTGAG